TTCTTTCTTTCTTTCTTTCTTTCTTTCTTTCTTTCTTTCTTTCTTTCTTTCTTTCTTTCTTTCCTTCCTTCCTTCCTTCCTTCCTTCCTTCCTTCCTTCCTTCCTTCCTTCCTTCCTTTCTTTTTTGACATGTACGAGACTATTTATTGCAGCACTTTTTTAAATAGCAAAACTTTGGAAACCATCATTAGGGATTCTTTTTAAAAAGTTATGGTATAGCCTATTACAAGACATTGAATGCATTGCCTGTGCTATATAGTTTCAATTAAAAATAGTTAAATAGAAAGTTATGGTATAGCCATACAATGGAATACCATGCAGTCTTTTTAAAAAAAGCTGTTCATATTCTGGTATATTGCTTAATGTAAAACAACAACAGTATTAAAATAGTCAAGGTGCAGAGGAGTAGGAGTAGGTATATTACACTACCATGCTGAAGCTAGTTAGTAAAGGACGGGGAGAAGGACTGGGAGAATATTTTCTGGGTGGAAGACCGCTAGAGCCAATTCAGCTCGCTGTCAGTCTTCACAACCTGATTTTTCAGGTCCACCGACTGGGGAAGTCTGATCCACTGTAAAGTATACCCCTCTATCTCTGCCCCGAAAGGGCCAGGGTCTGAAGATTTGATGGAGCCTGTTACACTAGGTCTTTGTTCTTCCCCTATAATTGCCCTAGAGTTTTCCATTCCTCTGGGAATTTGTGGGCTGAGGATTTTTTTAAAGTCTTTCTTGCATGAACTAGGCCTTCATCAAAATTCACTGCGACTCGGATTCATTTCCATTTCTAGTCCCATTGCTGCCTATAACCAACTAAGCATGATGGATGAGCCGGCTAACATTTTGAAGGTGAAAACTGTCTATCCATCTGACCATCTATCTAGCATGTCCCCTGATTTGAGTGCCTCCCCCCTATTAATGTAGCACATCCTTCAGTCTTGCCTCCCCTCCCATCTAAGTGATATGGGGTGTAAGCACAACCCTTCAGCCTTGTTTTGATGATGAATACTAGGTTCACATAAGTAAATCTTAAAAACTTGGGAATTTGCCAGTCCTAACTTTTTGTTTAATTTACATAATCATTTGCATAGGACCGCATATGTTAAGGAAACATCTGTAGCTTTCTTATGCATTTAGATGAGATGAACTTTTTTGTCAATATTTGAAGTTATCGCTTATTATTTATTTCTTTTGGGTCTTTTAAAAATATTCACACCAGAGTCATCCAATGCAGCTGAACAATCAGAGTCCTATTACTCACTGAAAATAAATACAATCATGGGCATTTTCATAGCCAGAAATGATCCTCCCAAATCAAAGCATTTGCGGAATGAATATATTTGTAGATTTGCTAATTCCACCCAAGTCTTGTCCCTAAATCTGTTTTTCAATGAAGGTGACTTAATATTGTCAGTTCAAAGACATTGTCTACCATTCAAAACACTTTGATCATCGTTTGCGTTCTTCCTTTCTCTCTCCATCACTCACTTTCCCCTACAAAAAAAAATGCACATAAAGCCCTACAGGGAACAATGGATGTGGGATTACATCAGAACATTTCAAAAGCAAGAGGATGGATTCTGAGGCAGATATCCAGGGGTCTAAGCGCCCACCTAAGTTCTTTTGTAACGTGAGATGGTAGAGGGGCAAATGGGGGTCTAAGAGCCTCGTAGCAGTGACTGGCACCAGTGCTCCTGTGTGTTTAGTAGTTAATGTTAATCTGGCTTGGAGAGTCCAGTGTCATACCTTGAATGGGGTAGACACGGTGGGTGGGCCATGAGGGAGTGAGAGGTGAGTGGGTGGGAGTTAGAAAGAGAAAGGGGTTAAGACGTACTCTGTTGCACTGTGCTAGAAAATACATAGTGCTCAGCTCCTTTAAGCTTCACTTCAACTCTAGAATAAATGTACTATTATTATTACTTCTTCAAGTATCACATCTAGGAATCTGTCACAGCTCTGACAAGAGCTGGGATTTGAACTCAGCTCTGCTGTCTCCACAGCCCACCTCGGCATACACATTCACTAGAGGAATGGGGACTAGATTTATGGTATTGAAACCCAGGAGTTTTTCTTTTTCATTGTAAGGGTCCAATTGTCTTTATTTGTTTTCATGTATGTATTTCTTGAAGAGTTAGTACACTCTCTCAGTACAAGATTCGAAAGATACAAAGAGGTATAGGGCAAAAAGTAAATCCCTCTTCCTCCCTTGTCCCCTGATGCCCAGTTCCCCTTCCTGAAAGCCACCACTGATACTGGTTGCTTGTGTATCCTTCCAGAATGTTCATCTCTTTACTCGTTTCTACCTAAGGCCGAATATGAACATCCTGCCTGGCTGGGAAGCTATGGTGACATTTGGGATGGGATGAAGAAGGCCACCCATCGTGCTTAGCCACAGAGCCTAAGGCAGGCAAAATTCATCTTCAGGGGTTACTCTGTTGCCTTTGGGTGACCCTTCTCTCCTCCATCCCCCTACTGTCCTGCTCACCCTGACCTGTCCTTTCCTGCCAGCTTCAGACAAGTCCTGCTCTGTTCCCTTACTCGGGACCCAGCCTGCTGCGCCTTCAGGCACAGTCTTGGCTGAGTACTTCAACCCCACTAAAGAATTTGTGGGTGTCTGTAGATTAATGAGCCACCTTTTTCACAAAATATGTTGACATTTTAACAAAGGGCTTCAATCAAAAGAGTGACTTGAATAATAGGGATTTCAAGTGCTTCGTCATTACAGGCCAATAGGCCAGCATTTTTTTCCCCCAAGAGGTATGACCTTGTGGCTCTTCCTGTCTGCTTCTGCTCTGGGTGTCCGGCCACCTGGGTGCCTGGAAACTTTGGCCCCCTGAAATTGTTTGACTCTCAGGGCAGTAATAACCCTGATCTTGATCTTTTTTTCTTTCAGGATGTGGACACTTGGAGTTTTTGAAACAAAATCTCCAAAGCTGTAAATAGCTCTCCTCTAATATATCCTAACTATAGGCTCAAATATTACCTACAAAAACAGTAAGAAACAAACATTACAATGAATAGAATTATTCTGACTTTAATATTCACTAAATGCTATCTCATTCTGCCTCTTCCAAAACAATATTTAGAATACAAAGTTGGAGCAGACGGCTTCACAAATTCAACATTTTCCCCAATCTGAGGGTAGGGGGAGGTGGGTATCTCTGCCAGGATTTAGTGAAGAAATCTTTGTTTGTCAATGGAATTCATTTTGATTTCCACAGGTAATAGTCTTCTCACACAATTAGGTACAGCTTCACAACTCAAGGGAGAGAAACAGTTGGGATCTTCATCAAAGTTATCTGCATTAAAGGAAAAAAAGAGTGCTTTCAGCTGTGGCAGGAGGGACTTTGCACGCAGTAGAATCATAAGGTATGTTTATCAAATGAAGGAATGAGTAGAAGAACTAGAAAGGAAGTTCAAGTTGCAGTGCTTTCCTGGGATAGTTTAAGCTAAATCTGGGGTGAATTAATTCATCCTGATGGCACTGGGAGGCAATTACAAGTACAGATATTCCTCCTGCCCTGTGACTAGTGGGCTGCATTGTTCACAGTAACCTTAACCTAGGGGAGGCTGTTCATGGACAAACACTGGAAGCCTTCAGGAAGAGACAACATAAAATTGTAACACACCCATCTGTATCTCCTATGAATCTGATATTCTTGCTCTAAGGTTTACCTGTTTCTCAAGCCTGAGAGTGCCTTGTGGTACAGAGGGTGCCATTTTTCACTTGGCACTAATGGAATTGAGTTTATGGCTGCCATATGTCTGATGGCAGCATCCAGACTGCACTTTTAGAACCTATGGCCCATGTAGCTGGACTACCTGCCCCACAGGCTGAGTTCCTGTCACAACTGGGGAGCATCTCCCTGAGCTCTCCGGGTCTATAGCTTGGTCCAATGACATTAAAATCCTGGACATGGTATTTGCTACTGCTCCTTCAAAGAAAAAATATGTACATCGGGGCTGTATATTTGTTAATGAAATGATACCCACTGGGGACAGGAGGGGAGCCAAGACTAACGAACCCTCTTGCAAAAATATTTCCCAATCAGCCCCAACTATTCTTTACTAAGGAACTTCCACAACTCATGCCCTCTGTGTGCCATGCCCCCCCCCAGTGCCTCCATATGAGCACCAACATATCTACAATTTGGCTGGCCAGAGTCCAATGGATGCCTGTGGCCAGGGAAAGATTTTCTTCATAGGCACCAACTTTCCCATGCAGCAATAAAGACTGAGATTCCAACACTAGTCAATGCACCTTAACTAGAAAATGGTGCTGCCTCATACAGTCCTGCAGCTGGTAGACACTTTGGAGGTGATCCATCTTGGTCCCAGCCATGTTCAAGGTAGAGGGGATGTAGCTGTGAGTAGGGAAGTGATGTGCCCAAGGTCACAGAGTTAGTGGCTTGCACCAAAGCCTTCTGACTCCAAGTTGGGTGCTCTTTATTTTTTCACCCACTATACTGTTTCCAGATTGGCTGCAACCCTTGGAAGTCGAACTGCTGTATGGAGCCAATATAATGAAAACTACAAGTGAATGAGGTGGTTCTACCACCAGCACTGAGATGGTGGGAGAATGACTACAGCCAGGCCACCAAATATGTTCTGTGTGTGACCTGGAGTCTACTTTGGGCTTTAAGAAAGGCAACCAAAGGCCACTACACTATGGTCCACCTGGAAGCACAGAACAGGGACTCATTGCAGAATCACCTTGAAGTTCTTAAGTTCTTGCTCTATTTTGCCTTTCTATTTACTTTAGGCCTTTAGACAAATCCTTGCCCTACACTTTCCCTCCTAACACCGATCTCCACCTCAACATCTGTCTCTGTATCTAGAAATTTGGCTTCCTCTGGAAGAAAGTGAGCATCTGGGAGTGATGTGCAGCTCAGTGGGATGGGGTGTGATGAGCACTAGCCTTAGAGCCAAGAGACCTGCGTTCTGGCTCCAGTTCTGCTGCTGATGGGCTGAGTGACTATCCATAAGGTATTCTCTTTCTCCTGTTTACACTTCCTCATCTGCAGAAGGCGGGGATTGCACTAGATATTGTATAAGGTTCTGTCTGGTTTTAACAGTCTGTGACAATTAGTTCTAATTACCCATGATTTTTTTTTCACCTCCAGACCTCTAGTCTCTTCTGTCCTCCATTAACCTAATAACCCACTGATTTGTACCTACTAAGTTCACTAGGTGCTTCTGTGCAAATTTCTGAGCCAAGCGTGAGCCCAGATCGACACCAGCACACGTGCATTTAGTTTTGAGGAGGAATCATTTCCCAAGACCACATCTGTGGCCTCACATTAATTCAATACCTCTGGGATGTACGTGCTGACAGCACAGCTTTTTCTCTTACCATTTGGGGAGCTTATTTCTGAAGGAGTGCCTTGCACGGAGCCTGAAGATTTGAAAATGGAACTAATTGCAGATGACTTGAGGGATGGTGGCAGCAAGCTGTGCTCAAAGGTTTTCTTCAGTCTTTCCTGTTTCCGCCCAACGTGGAGCCCACACCTGCTGCTACCATCTGAAATGACACCCAAAACAGTTAAAAACATAAAACTCATCAAATTCTACACTTCAAATGGGTAAATGTGACCTCGACAATCCTGTTAAAAATATAAAGCCCAATGTACACAGTGTGCGTTCTGGGTACCTCAAAGGGTCAGATTTTCTATGAAGTTGTGAGAATTTCGAACTATAATGTGTAGGACAGGCAGAGCCAATTCATGCACCAAGGATACCTGCTTTCCCTAGAGCCCAGCACAGGGACCAGCAGGTTACTGACAAGCCCAGCATAAAGAAGCAGGATCTCTGTGCTACTCATAGAATCTTCCGGTTCAAGCACCATCTTCCCTAAAGGCAATAGACTGAGCGAAGCTACCTGAATTGGATGGAAGAGCCTTTTGATGCATAGAAAATAAGTTTGCCTGGACTTGAGATATTCTCAGAGGCAACACCAGAGTCCACTACATCTCTCACTGTGCAGGAAGGGCCATCGGTCCATCTGGGCAGTCCACCAGCTGGGCATCTTAGGGATACTGACAAGTTCTCTCCACCTCCACCATCACTCCACTCAACCCACTGTTGGCTACAGGACAGAAAGCCCCTGTGACCCAGTGCCTAGGACACAGTAGGCACTCAGTGTTCTTTTAACTGACTTGAGACTCAGGTGACAGCAAGGACAAGCAGTCCAAGGAATCTGGGCCAAAAGAGAAGCTTCGCTGAGTTAAAATATGGCCCAAGTCACATCCTTCACCTGACTTCATTCATCTCTATACAAAAGTACAAAGCATTTTCCTGACATGGAAACAGCCTCCATTTGACACTGATGCAGTATGAACTCCAGTCAGGAGACAAGTTAATCTGATCAGTTTTGTAAAACCTGCAAAATTTAAAACCTTATCCAAACTAGCGTCTTACCAGAAGAGTTATCCAGCCGCAACCACCCGCAACAAAAATGCAGTTGCCACTGCTGGCGGACCCGCTCCTTCATCACGCAGTGGAACACAAAAATGAGGAATCCTAAACAGAGAGAAGAAGGGCAGTCTTTTTCAGCTTCTTTCACGCACTGTTGCCAATGCCTAGACTCAAGTGTACTCCTGTCACCATCAATACTCCTTCTAAGGAACCCCAAGGCCATTACTGGTTTTCTGAGGTCAGCTTTCTGGCCTCCTTCCCAATGGAAGTGATGATAAGAAGGTCTGTATCAAGATTTCATGTCAACCACAGTTTTCCTCCTGGACTGCTGTCCATCCTAGAGTTTGAGGCATCAGGTCTGCAATGGGCACCAGCCGCTGAGATGGCTCTCAATGATCTGCACATCCTGGCATTCACATCCTATATAGTCTCCTCTCACGTTCTACCAATAGGATATGGCAGAAGTGATGCTATAGCAGAAGTGATGGCATGTCACTTCCAAGATTAGGTAATAAAAGACATTGTGGTCTCTCTCTTCCCTCCCGTCAGGAAAGGATGACCCAGATAAGATTCAGAGCTGTTTAGAAGCTACAATGGTGATCATATTATACTATTTAATGGGTCAAATCAGCATGTTGTACACCTTAAATTTACACAATGTCAAATATCTTTCAATTTTTAAAAAAAGAGATGTTAAAACTAGTAGTAACCAGTGGGGAGAGGGAAGAGGGAGGGGCAAGATAGGTATAGTGGGTTAAGAGGTACAAACTACTATGTATAAAACAAATAAGCTACAAGGATATATTATTCAGCACAGGGAATATAGCCAATATTTTATAACAACTATAAATGGAGTATAACCTTTAAAAATTGTGAATCACTATATTTTACACCTGTAACTTATGTAATATTGTACATCGACTATACTTCAATTTAAAAAAAGAAAGAAGAAAAAGAAGCATTAAATGCTCTGCTTTATGGAATGGGGAGCTCTCTGTCTCTGGGAAGTTTTGGGTGGAGGCATGTGACTTCCTGTGACTCAATGGGAGGTTGGATTGGGAAGATCTGGGTTCTCTGGCCCTGGTCCTGAGACTCTCTGATTCCAGAGGAGAGGCAGTGATCTAGAGGCTAAACAGGAAGACATGTCTCATCACCTCTCCCGAGGGCTCTATCTCCATTTGTAACTGAACAAGAATGGTGATGAAGCCAACAGCGTTCACTCTTTTTCTGAGCAGCGGCCACCTGGAAGGGAGTGCAGCAGCCTGATGAGAGCAAAGCCCAGCCTCTGAGCAGGCAAAACTCCTCCAGCTGCAGCAGGCCCAAGGGGCAACAGTGACAAGCAGCACCTATGATTTCCCGCGTGGAGTTTAGCTAGTTCTCAGACTTCAAGGTTATTCTGTGAATTCCAATGAGCTGCCTGCCAGCTCTCCCTCTCTGCCTGACAGCCTTCCTTTTCTCTTTCCAATAACAGATTGATCTGCTTACTCACTAGAACACAGGCATGAAGGAAGACGTCAGGTTTTTGTCACCTGTATTTTTATGTGTGCATCCCTCCTTCAGAAATACCTCATCACAGGCATCATTCTCTCATGCCTGACCACAGGGCCACCCCCTTGAGCCAGAATTGCAAACTTGCCAACTATCTTTTTAATGGCTAATCTGTTCACTTGTTTCATTGCATTCTTCTTTTTAATATTTGGGTCGTGTGTGTGTGTGTGTGTGTGTGTGTGTGTGTTGTGTGTGTGTGTGTGT